ATTTGCATTTTAGAAAAGGGCCATTAGACTAGGCCACTGGATCCATGGATGGAGGAAGGACTGGGAGGGCGAGAGGCCAGAGCTGCTGTGTGCTTGTAACCCAGCGGTGTGATGCTGGGCAAGCCACGTCACTTCTGTGAGTCACAGATACCTCATCTGTCAAATGGGGATGATGGTATTAAGCCTGTAGAGTTAGAAAGATTAAATGGAATAACGTTCAGGAACCATATACTACTGTGCCTGACACATATTAGGAAATTATAATATTTAATTAAATTAGAAAGTCAACCAGGAAAGCAATTGTAATTGCCTACGCAAAAGGTAGGAAGGCATGGCTGGGGTTATGGCTCAGTGACAGAGCGCTTGCCCTCATGTATGAGGCACTGGGTTCGAGCCTCAACACCACATAAAAATAAATAAATAAAATAAAGGTATTGTGTCCAACTACAACTAGAAATTTTTTTTTTTTAAATGGGAAGGGCCTAAATGCAACCATTGACCATGGAGGGAGAGGGGAAGAGGACACGGAGCTGTTTCACACATCTGACTTTGTGGCTGTGTGCTGTTCTTAAATGCAAGAGAACTTTCTTTCCCCCTTCTTTCTTTAGACTTTTCTTCCCTTAGAGAACTGAACCTGGAACTTTCTTGCAGTAGAAACCCATAGGCCAGAGCTTTGGGTTCTGGGATCCCTGATTCACGAGAGAATAAACACAGACTCCATTAAATAAAAAGGTTTCTTGTGCAAAGGGATTTAGCAGATCATCAGGTCCTTCCGTAAAGTATACCAAAGAAGGAGACAGAGTACTTGGTTCTGGTGTTGGTGTTTCCACTTATTGGGTGCCATTTAATCTCAAGCAGTTTTATCATCTATGGAATAAATAAAGGGGGCAGAATAAAGACTTCCAAGTGTAAATCTCAGCTGACAAAGGGAGGACAGAGTTGAGCAGAGCTCATCCCTGACCTCCTGTTCCTCCTCAGGGCCTTTTAGGATCAGCAGCTCTATCAGGGCTCTCCTGCCTTCAGCCTATGGGGCCCTAGTACATAATGGCCATGGAGGAGGTTGGAAGGATAGGGATGCCCAATTGGCCCCACTCTGCCCTGGCTCACCCGGAGAGCCCCAGTGAGCTCATGTCTGCAGTAACTTCACTGCTCATAACCAGGATGGTGAGACAAACCTGGAAGCCATGCACAAGTGAGAAGTGATGGCTGTCTCCTTAGGAATGTACTGCCCAATTAAAACTGTCTCCCATATGGCTCCAGAGGATGTTGGGACTACTCCGCAGGCCATCTTGGCCAACCTCCAGGCTGTGTGGTTCTGCAAGCATTTATTGAGGGCCTACTATGCATCAGACATCAAGCTGGGTGTCAGGGAGAAAAGGAGCAATAAAAGTTACACTAAAAAGTAAAATCTATCTGTCCCAAGACACACTTTTGGAAGCAGACTGTCAGAGAGCTTCGGGTTGTGCTGGTGATGCCCTGGACTCCTTTCCAGTCTCCCATCAACCCCAAGGCCTGTCTCTCCCTGACCACAGATTCCAAGCCCTTAGACTATTTCCTTCCCTTTAGAAAGCATCCCAAGCTCCCTACCTTCTTCTGGCCTCCTCTTCCTCCTCAGTTGATATGGATCAGGCAGCTGACTCATTTCTCCTACTTCTGGTATAGTCTGAAATTCCTCTGTAATGTCCATCCATAATGCAGATGTTAGGTTTATTGCATCCTGTCCTGGGCAGGGTGTCCAGCAGAGGTCATGAACTGAAGTGACACCCATGCAGTAAGAGAGGATGGGGTCTCAGTAGAGGTCATTCTCCAAGTGAAACACCTGAAGGAGGCAAGTCCTCAGACAGGAAAGACTAACTTGGAAGACTGGTGTCTTCCTCTTTCAAAGGGTGAGAATCTTGAGGGCTAGACTTGGGAGAGGATGGAAACCTAAGTGTGGCCTACGTGGCATGTGGTTAAAATAGGCTGTCCTGGGGCTGAGGCTGTGGCTCAGTGGTAGAGCACTTGCCTAGCATGTGTGAGGCACCAGGTTCGATTCTTAGCACCACAAATGAATAAAATAAAGGTTCATACATCTAAATATGTGTGTGTATGTATGTGTGTGTGTATGTATATATATATAAAAGGCTGCCTGCTTGTGTTTTCCCTTAAGTAGCTCTGTGTCTATATTTGTTAGGATAGTATTCCACTATGAAAAGACACCCCCAAAGCTGGCTTACAGTTATTTTTCTCACATAATGAGAACTCGGAAGACAATCAGTCCAGGACCTGATCATGGACTTTTATCCTGATACCTAGCCTTCCTTAGCATGCACTTCCCGCCTCATGGTCAAAGGTGGCTTCCCTGTCTCCAACATCAAGTCCAAATTCCAAATAGGAAAAAGAAGATCAAAAGACCACTTGAGTCTCCTTTCCTTTTAAAGTGCTTTCCCAAAAGTTCCATACAACTTCTTTCACCTCATTGGCCAAAACAGTGTCACATGGCCACTTCTATCTGCAAAAGAAGCTGGGGAATGTTTTTTGTTTTTGTTTTTTAGGTGTTTGATGACTTTATTTTCCATTAATTATTTATGCCCTGTCCATATAAATTCTAATATATGAAAATTATTTCTGCAGAATTTCCCAAGGTGGCCTCTGGTATGGAGGTGAGGGAGAATGACCACAAGAAACTGCAGTGCAGTCTCTCCATCAACCAGGAGCCATACACTGAAAATTAGCAACTGCTACACTACCATAAGTGTGGGGGCCGATAAGGAGAAAAGCCACCAAGGGCAAAACTTCAGAGAACCTTACAGTTTTTGGAGGCTGAAAGTCCAAGATTGGGCTCTGGTGAAGATTGTTTCACAACATGGTGGATGGCATCATGGTGGGAGTGCATGTGAGAAGAAGAGATCTCATGGTAAGACAGGAAGCTGGAAAGAGGGTACAGGTGTGTCTTCTTTTTATGAAAACCCATTTCTGGAAGAATGAACCAGGTTTCCCCCCAAAATTATATTAATCTCTTCTTAGGGCAGTGCCCCCAATGACTTTGCACTAAGCCTGATGTGGTAAGGGTTCCACCACTTCTCACATCATCTCTCCAGAGACTGAGCATCCAGTACTTGAACCTTTGGGAAACGAGAAACATACAACAGCACCAAGTAACACATTGTATATATGTTAATGGGCACCTGTGGTCACAAACATTTTTATCAGCTATTTTTTCCCAAAAAATTATTTACCAAAATAGAGAATATTCAACTTATCTGATATTTATGTTCTTATAGAAAAAAGTTAAATAAATAGAATAAGTCTAGTTTTTTACGTGGTCTTAATAAAGGTATTTTATGGTTTCATTCAATTTGGACTTGCTTACTTTTACCTTACCAATTTAATATGGCGATTGGAAAGCTTTAGTTTTATGGGGAATGTGTCTTAAGTTGAGCATCTGCTTTCCCCCAACAACATAGATTTGTTTAAATAAGAACTGTAAACTACAAGGAGAAGGAAAAAAAACAGATTTCAGGAAGGAGAAGGTGTAGCTTAGGGGTGGAAGAAGGGGAGCAATGGCTCAGTGGGCTGATGGCGGGCAGCAGTTGGCAGGTGCCTAGACAGCAGCAGGCGAATAAAGAGAATATGGAAGTAGCAGAAATCAGGTGCCCAACCTCGCTCTTCATTGCCAAGTGGGTCCCTCATTCATACAATCTCAGAATATCTCCTCTCCGCACATCATCTTTAGTGACTTCAGCTGTTTAATGTGTGCCTCAGCCTTCCTTCTGCTGCGGGCTAAGCTCAGCCTGGAAGCATGTACAACTCCATCTGTTAGAAAAGAACCCTCTGGTCTTTTACGTGCACGCCAGTGTTGTGGAAGGCTGGGACGGCGAGGTCCTGAAGAGAATCAGTCTACATCCCAGCGCATCCTACTTTCAGAGCTCAGCGCTTGGGTTTGTTCCGGAAAGAAACTGACAGGACGCTTCCTGGAAGTTTCCCTATGCTGCGCTAAGGGACTATTTGTGCGTCCTCCTGCCGCACTGTTATCTACAACACCAGAGTGTCTGGAGCCTCTACCCGACCGAGGGCAGGGTCTGGGTGTTTGGCTTTACGACCTCAACGTCTACAAGGCCCCGGGCAAAGCGAACGACCTTGGTCGCCGTGGCGCCTTCCTTCTCCTGCAACAAAGTCGCCCAAGTTTCAGGGAGCAGGGAAGCACCGCCCTCTCGCTGGGGTAGGCCCTCCCCAGCCTCCAGGGTCACCATCCTCCTCTGCTCTGTGCTGCCGTCTACCAGTGAGCGGGAGCGCGACAGCGACATAGTAGAAAGGAAGTGCCTGAGTTTCGAGGGCGCAGACGCGAGTGCACGCTGCCGTCCCCAGCGCCTCCTAGCCGTTCTGCGCCTGCGCACCGACTGCCAGCTGCAAGGACCGAAGAGGCAGGTATAAACCCGCTGAAGCGATTAGGTGGCTGAGGGAGCCGCCCAGGAAGTAGCTTCCGGGGTTCGAGCCCTGAAGGTTCGGGGACGCCGGAGTTCGCTCCGCCTGGGTGACTCTGATGAGATCGAAACATCGCTTTTTCAGGGGGGCGTGACCTGAGCCCACCTCTTGGGGCTGGGAGTGGAGGAGGAGGGGGTTCGCTAAGGCCTGTTATTAATTTGGTTCACCTGTTTGTTCAGGAAGGTTTTTCTCGAGGAAGATACAGAGTCTGCAGATAGTGGAGAGTAAGGGGCGAACTGGACCAGGTGGCTGGGGCAAGTCCCAGGGCGGTGAGGAGCTGGACAGATTGGCAGAAGGCAGGCCCATTACCCCCACTGTATGTAAAGGGGAGAGCAGTGCTGCTACAAAGTGAGTGTCCCGGTAGACATTGTGAGGTTGTTGGTCTCACACTCAGGATGGCAACCCCTAATTTGTGTGTGTATTCACTTTTCTTACAGAAAGAAGCAATGTCTTCTGTCGTGGCCCAGTGTGGACTCTAACATGCACTCACTTGACTCTTTTTATCTAGGACATGACACGCGTGGCACATCACGGCCATGGGATCTCAGCATTCTCCTTTGCACATGCTCCCTCCTGCAAGCGAAAGAAAGAAGATGACAGGGAGGCTTTGCTGACTGATCTAGAACAGGAAGAAGCCATTGCTCAGTTCCCATATGTGGAGTTCACAGGGAGAGATAGCATCACCTGTCTCACGTGCCAAGGAACAGGCTATATCCCAACAGGTTTGAATCTGGTGATCAGGGAAGGACTGATTCCTGGTTAAGGCAGGGGTTCTTATGTCTGCCCTAACAGCTTATCTCTGAGGCATTAGTACTTTTATAGTCCCAGAGTGCCCTGATTTGAAACCAGCTCAGCTGACTTGATACACTTGGGCAGATTCCACAACTTCTCTTGGTCTCTTTATATTTGAAACCCTTTCTTTTCTTTACTTCCATTCTTTTATCCCCATGCTCCCCGACTCTACTGTGGTTTGGAATATTCTTCTCATTCTATGTTATGGGGTTGTTTAGTACATATCTTATTGTTCTTGTGCATAAGGACTGGCACAGCTTTGTAGGCGGACCATCTTGGAAGCTTCTTAATAAAGAAGCAGTTAGTGAATTAATAGCCCAATGTCAGCAAAATGTATCAGGTGAGGAGAAATAAACAAATGTTCAGAAGAGGAGCCTGGGCTACCTTCAGGATTATCTATTATTAAGAAAGCACTCAGAGAGTCTTTTAGAGTTTAGATGGAGAGTCACAAAGAGCTTAAAAAACATTTACTCTAACCCTTTATATTAAAGGTGAGTAAACAGTGGCTCTGAGAGGTTGATGACTTTGCCAAGTTGGCCATGCATTAAAACAGAATAAGATCCCAGGTTTCTCAACTTTATGCCACTGACCTGAAAGTACTTACAGGTGTTTTGTAATTTATAATATTCTTTATTAATTTATTTATTCTTGTTCATTAAACCTACCATATGAAATTAGTACTTTTTAAATATCTAATCCCAGGAAAATATTTGCTGTGGCAGGCTGCAGTGAAGTGCTAAGAAAAGTATTGCCAAGTAGGTGGGATTTACAAAATATGTGTTTCATTCTTTTCCAGAGCAAGTCAATGAATTGGTGGCTTTGATCCCACATAGTGATCAGAGATTGCGCCCTCAGAGAACGTGAGTTAATTGCCTCCTACCTGCTAATACCTACTCCTGTCCCTATTTCTTTTTATATGTTATGACTGTAAGTTAATTCTGTGAAAACTACATCTGTTCTTGTAAATGACCCATTTCCTTTATTACAATTTGCTCAAGAAGGATATTTCTGCCCCATCACAATCTGGGGAAAGAAACTTGAAGCTAGAAATGTTCTGAGAGCCAAGTGAAGGGGTGAGATTGAAAGGAATTGGAGAAGTAGGGTGTCCTAGGAGTGAGGAAATTCTTTGTCCACGTAGCTCCTCCCAGGCTTCACTTAACAGTGTCCAAACTGGTTTTAAAAGGCTTCTTCTGCTCCATCCCTTCTTGCTTGGTTTCTGGTTCCTGGCTATTTGTATTCTCCTTTCACTCTCACCTTTGTTCCCTATTTTTACATTTAATCTCTGTCAGTTGCACCTTGATCTGACTGCTCATTGGGGCATTTGTTATGTCATTTGCAGTAAGCAGTATGTCCTTCTGTCGGTCCTACTCTGTCTCCTGGCATCTGGTTTGGTGGTTTTCTTCCTGTTTCCACATTCAGTCCTCGTGGGTGATGATGGCATCAAAGTGGTGAAAGTCACATTTAATAAGCAGGACTCACTTGTAATTCTCGCCATCACGGTAAGGCTTAGGGCTTCACTGCCTGGATTGTGCACCTGCTGGTCTTGGACCAGGATGCTTACACTTGTTTCCTCATTTGCCCTGATGCAGGCCACCCTGAAAATCAGAAACTCCAACTTCTATCCTGTGACAGTGACCAGACTGTCCAGCCAGGTTCAGTACATGAACACAGTGGTTGGCACATATGTGACCACTAACATCTCCCCCATTCCACCGCGGAGTGAGCAACTGGTAAGCTGTTTTTTGGGAGTCCCTGTCCCACAGTGTGGGAGCAAAGTAAGTGCTGTGAGGACACACAGCTTATTTTAGTCAGCTTTTCCACTGCTGTGTCTAAAGGATCTGACCAGAACAACTACAGAGAAGTCTATCTGAGGGCTCATGGTTTCATAAGTCTTAGTCCATAAAAGGCAGCTCCATTCCTCAGGACTAGAGGTGAGGCTGAACATCATGGCAGGAGAGAGTGGCGGAGGGAAGCAGCTCACATCATGGTGATCAAAAAGAAAAGCAAGATTCTACTCTCCAGATACAAAATATATACACCCAAGCCATGCCCCAATTCCCACCCTCTCCAGCCACACCCTACCACTTCAGTTAATCCCATAAAGGATTGACTGGCTGATTTGGCTAAGGCTATAACCCAATCATTTCTCCTCCAAACCTTCTTGCATTGTCTCACAGGTGAGCTTTTGGGGAATACCACATCTAAACCATAACACAGCTGCATTACTTTTCTTCTCCTGGTTTCCACACATAGGCACTGATTGATGAGAAAGATCTAATGGGCTCTGTAATTATGAACAATTGTGGAGAAGGATGGAGAAAATAGTTAGCATTTAAGAATTTGAGGAGCAAAAGAATTTGTAAGAGAAAGACTTGCTACATATCAAGAAGAGGCAGTATTATAATCTGAAATCCATTGACCTCTCAAAGGGGAAGAGGTCAGAGTAGTAATTAGAAGCTCATAGGCTAGATCAAGGATAGTCTCGGGGACATATTTTATATGTGATGGAACCATGGTCCAGGGTCTGAGGGTTTCTGATAATAGTGCTGTCCTTGACCACTGTCTGACTCCAAGTATCTTGTTTTCAGGTGAATTTTACGGTGAAGGCAGAGATGGGAGGACCATTTTCTTATGTGTAGTAAGGACAATGCTTTTTATATGTGTGGTCTTTATCAGAGGAAAGGAATTCAGAGCCGTACTCAGTTGTCTGGTGCCAGGTTCTGCCTTAAGTCTTAGCCTTTGCCCTGTAGGCTTCCTAGCTTTGGCTATCTTAAGTTTTATTTGGAAGAGATATTGTTTTATCTGTGATTGAAGTGCTGGAATTTCTAAAAGAAATCATTAACCCACTAGAAACATTACCAAGCTCCAGCACTTTGGAAAAACAGAAAAGGATCACAACGGGGAACGATGAGAATGACCCTTGTTGGTGGCTTAGAACTGGTGGGCCTTAGCAGCATTTGGGTCAGAAGGGTGGGTGTTGGGAATCACCCTAAATAATTTAATACTCTTCTATTGATTCTTCTATTTTTTTTTCCTGTTTTAAATCAAACTGCCTGTCTCTGTATTGCTGCTTGGTAGCTTCTTCTGTACATTACCTGACATCCTGGTGCACAACATAGTGATCTTCATGCGGTATGTCCCTTGCTTCCTTACCCTGATGGCTTGAACTATTGGACCTTGTGAGCTTACTGCCCTTACTCAGAGACACATAGCCAGAGAGATCTCAAAGCCCCTTGGTGTTCTCTAGATGTGGAGCTCAGATCCCCTACACAAGTCACCAGGTTCACAGTGAACTGTTGAATATGTCATTTTCTCTATGAAGTGGGATCTAGTTTAACTAAGAACACGCGATCGCTTTAGAATCCTAATGAGACCAGTAAAGAACAGAAAAGCTTTCTCAAGGTATAAGTACTAGGTATTTGACCAGACTTACTCTCTAGCCACACAAATTATCATGTGTCATGAAACTTCAGGATTATTCATGAACCCGTGACTGTCACATTTGCAGGTGACAGGTTCTGCTACTGACATCTGAAATGTGAGGATTAGAGCAAGGGTTCTCAGCGTGGCACTGGTGATATTTTGTGCCAGAAACAATTTTTGTTTTTGATGTTTAACAGCATCCCTGGTCTGTACCAACTAGCTACTGGTACACTCAGCCCCATACTTGGTTGAAACAACCCAAAATGTCTCCAACATTGCCATAGTTTCCACAGGGGAAAATCATCCCTGGTTCAGAACCACTTATTTAGAAGATCACCTCACAACACAGTATCTTCGGGTATAGAAAGATCCTCTGACTTCCTAGTTGCATAACAATGAAGATATGTGTCTCGGGGGTATTGTTGCTTGAACTTGCAAGAAACTACTTGGGCAAATTTCCTTGCTTATTTCATTTCTTCTTGGTTTTCTTTTTCCTAGAACTTCAGTGAAGATTTTATATATTGGTCACATGACCCAGAGCTCCTTGGAGACACATCACTATGTAGATTGTGGAGCAAATTCCACAGCTGTTTAGCATCTGCTCATGGTTCTCCAGTGGCAATACCTATAAAAGAGAGCCCAGCATCTGTTCCTGAGTTCCATACTGATCCCAGGTGGTATAAGAAGAGGACAAATTTTTTTTCTTAGCCCACAGCAAACCTCCCTCCTACCCCTTAGGGGGAACCTCCTTCCTATAGCACCATGTATGTTTCTCAGAACCAGCAGAATCACTGCCCAGTGCCTCGCTTGTGCCCAGCAAATAGTTGGCACTCAATAAAGTTTGAAGAATTTAATTTAGATCTTTTTAGCTGTTCTTGAGGCATTATAAGCTGAATCTATACCATGCTTCTGGGTTATCAAACCACAGAGTGGCATGAAGATAGGACTGTTAGTGCATCTGCAGATATGTCAGTGCCTCATCTGCACAGAGTGGCATCAGGGTACCCTTGAAATACCTAAAAGAAGAGGGCATGGAACCACTCAATGTGTGCATTTGTTTGATCTGTTTCCAAATGCCTAGAAGCTTTTAAAAGAAAGATTTTCTTTCTTTCTTTTTTTTTTTCCTGTAGAAAGTCACACTTGTTTCTACCCAAAGTCTATGTGGGGCTTGGTTTACCCTTCATCCATTGGCTGGAACATGGATTGGGGGTTTGATTAAAAAAATAAATAAACTCTGTTTTTGATTCCTCTGTGTCTCTAATTGTCTAGATGCCTTTGTAGGTAACCCTGAGGAAACCATAGAATAGTAAGTGAGTCAGCACAGGGTCCACTATGGGAAGGAAATAAAAGGAACCCAGACAACTTGCTGTCCCCATGAGTGTTGTCACAGCAAACAGCCTCACTTCATCTGCCTCTGCAGGCAACTGACTGCCCTATTACTCTTCCAGAATAAAGCACACAGCGCCCCCTGGAGGCTGAAAAAGTCAGATATGCCAGAGAGTGAGAAACTGCTTCCTGTGGGGGTACCCCCAGTGTGGCTTTTGTCTTTACTAAGAGGAATTGGTTTGAGGTTGGAAGTTTCCTCAACTGTCTCCACCCTCTGAACCACCAGAGGATGGGCTGCAGAGGATCTATCAAATTATGGCTAAATTTCATGACTGGCTGAGACTGACCACCATCAAGGGTTGAACACTGGAGTTTCAGAAATAACCAGGTGGTATGAAGGGTGTACACATTAGTGGTGACAGTGATAGATCTTAGTGAAGGAATATCACTACTTGGACAGGGGCAAGTCATTTCTGAAAATGTTGCCCTAATCAGAACATGCCTGAACTCCTGATGATGTTCACTCTCTGTATCATCTCTTTAGTTTTTCCATTTTCCAAATAGCCTCTGTAGCATATTTTCTTAATGATTTTGGAAAAGCTACTCATATTGGTACTTTAGTTTCGACTAATTTATTTTTTGTGACCTTGTGCCTCAGAAACATTTCTTGCTTCTTGATATTAACTTAAAATCCAGTTAATAATATTTAAGTGAGAGCAGTTAAATTTTCTAAACATATAGCAATGAGTCTGGTCTTGGTGTTACGAGCTCTCATACCTAATTTTATTCTTAGCATCTCATAGCACTTTGGGATGCCCTGCATAATTTTATTGTGGAATCTGTCCATTCTTGGAACAAATATCCAGAATTTTTCTCTCAGCAATCCAAAATTAGGGGAAGTTTTTGGCTTAGATGTCATTATCATCACCATTGTTTCCAGTGGATTGAAATTTGCAAAGATTATTTCTTAGAGATGAGGCTTGCTGGAGATCATTTCTCTGTAGCTTCCTCTTGACCTATACTGTGACCTATAGATCTCTAACTATTTATATCATGTCGCTTGGTTGAAGAGTTGCTACCTATAGGAATCTCCATTTATTTGTAATTTATTCATTCCAGAAAAAGCATTGAACACCTGCTGTATGCCAAAGATTGCAATTTTTGATGCATTTTTTTGAGTGATATAGCTGGAAGTCTACACAAGCCTTGAATCTTTATCAGTCCCATGTAGACCACAGGTAACTTCATTCAACTAAGTTACATCATAAGTTAAGTATAAATATCAATAAATCCAGCAAAAGTGTCTTTTATTTATTTGTAGTATTTCTTTTTTATTTATTTGTAGTATGTCGACCTTAATCTAGAGGAAGGGGGCAGGGATGTTAGAAGTGGGTAGAGAAAGCCTTGGCTCTCTGGTTTGTTAGCCATGCCAGATCTTTTAAAATTGGTTTTATAAAAATCATCCCGGTGACTTGGGGGCTGAGGCAAGAGGATCACAAGTTCAAGGCCAGCCTGGGCAACTTAGTGAGACCCTGTCTCAAAAATTTAAAAATTAATAAGAAGTAAAAATAAGGATAGGGGATATAGCTCAGCAGTAGAGTGCCCTCCAGTACTACAGGAAAAAAAAGAAAAAGAAAAAAAAAATTGTCATGGATTCTGATTGGTTTCCTATCTGCTGTCCACTTCACACATCACCACCACTGGGGCCCTCTAGTGGAGAAGGGAACAACTTGCTTACCTCTATACTATCTGAGGCACTGGAAAGCAAGGGAGACCTGGTAATAATGAGAAAGGGAATGCTGTCCATCTAAGATGGAGGTCACAATCTTACATCTGGTGTTCAGAGGAGATGAGTGGAAGCTTTAAGTGCAGGTCCAGGAAGTGAAGAATGGGGGCCAGAAGGAAGGGTGGGAAAGAGGAATAAGGAGGAGCAGGAGGGGTGGAGATTAATAACCCACTTCTCCTTGACCTAAAATTTGTACTGAAAGATGCAAATAACCACCCTGATTACTCATGTGCACTTGTCAGGGGTCCCTTCTTGCCCTCCTTCCTGCTTTTTCACCCCACCTTCTCTCCCACTCAGCAGTTTGGCCCACACATGGCCTTGCTCTCTAAGTTCATGGTGCACCATGCCTCTTGCTTTACAACTTGTGTTCATTGGTTGCTTTCAAGAACAAGGCAATCCCTCTAGGGTGTCTCCCTTCCCAAACTGTCATGCTATGGTTTGAATATGTACAGTGGCCCTCAAAGTTCCACATGTTAAAGGCTTGGTCCCCAGACTAATGCTACTGGGGGCGGGGTGGAAGCTTGGAGAGGTGGGGCCTCATGGGAGATCCTCAGATCATTGGGGTGTGCACTCAGAAGGGACTGTGGGCCGGATGTCTTCCTCTCACTCTGCTTCCTGGCTCATAATGTGGGAACTCACTCTGAGACACACTACTGCCATGATGTGCTGCCCTCATCAGATGCCCAGACCAAGAGGGCTGCCTGATCTTGGATTTGAACCTCCAGAACTATGAGCCAAAATAAGCCTCACTTTACCTCATAAATAGCCTGTGTCTGGTGTTTTTATTGTAGTAACACAAAGCTGACTAACAGACTTAGTCTCTGATCCTGGTTTACCACTGGGTTCCATACAGTGCCAAGTTGACAAAAGAGGCATGTGGGAGGTCACTAAACCAGGCAGTGTGGCTTCAACCTTGCTCTCAGTTGAAAAGTCCACAGAAGGCAGCCCCAGGACCACATGCAGAATCAAGGACTAATGGAAAACAAACTAAAGAACAAAGCACAAGGCAATGTGTACTTTCCAATAATTTTTTAATTTTTAATATCAATTGATGTTTTAAAAAATACAGAGGTGTTTGACACAGAATAGCACCATTGTGTAGGACACACACAGTTCCTGCGCCCGGCACCTTCAGGGGGTCTTTTTGCCTGGGCTGGGGGCAGTCACTCAGGGGGCATTTGACTCACACCAGTTAGTTTCCTGTCTCTGCCTTGACCCAAAGGTCTTACAGGAAGACAATAAATAAATAGAACATGAGATTTTATTTTGCAGTCTGCCCAGTTCAGGTCTCTTAGAGAGGGGAGAACAGTCCAAACTGTGAGAGGGGAAGATGAATGGTCATCAGGTCAGGTCAGCCATTCAGTGCAGAATCCTAGAGTGACTGGGATTGGAAAGTACTTGGGTCCTTTGGGTTTGCAATGGATTGTGTTGTTTCTGGGTTTGGGTTTTTACAAGAAGCAGACAGGCCCTATGTCCACACCAAATTCTTGCTCAGGCCCTCCTATGTCCATGGGTGCAATGTCAATGATGGGGAGGCGTGAAGTCTTCTGTGACCGGTACTCGATGACAGTGTTGCCCCACTTACCGGTGTGTTTCTAGAAGGAAAGAGAAGAGATGCTATCCAGTAGATGTTTTGCAATCCAGTGATAACTTCCTAGGAACCCCAAATCGAACAACTACAGTGTGAAAGATACTCATGAGGCTCCCTAGACCTGTTCTTGGCTTGCTCAAGCCCTCTCTGCTTCAACTCCTATCCTTAGCAGCAGAGATCTCCTCCACCTTCCTGTCCTGTCCCTTCCTTCTCCACACCACAGTGGATTCCCACCTGTGATTCCCTCTTTACTTGCTCTTGTAGGGATGCCTATATACATTACGTGAGCACTTCTGCAAAAGTCACTGAGCAGGCCAGATAGGGCCTTATTTCTCCTAAGCCAGGAAGTAGACAAGCTGATAGAACAATATGTACCTTTCCCTCACTTGTCACTCAATTTGTCTTCTCAATACAACCCCTCAAACTCACACTTCTGATAATCTGTCACTTTAGGACTAGGACACCTGTGATAGGCCAACCCTCCATCTCACAAAGGCAACTTCCAGGTTCTGGGTAGCTCTTCTCTCTGGCAGGTCCAGTCAGCCCCACTCACCGTGCAGCCATCCTTCAGGGCAGTGTACGTGAACCTGCTGTTGCCCTCAGCCCGGATCTCCACATCATTGGAGCCCTGGATGAGCAAGGCCTTCTTGAGGTTGCCAGCTGCTTCGTCCAGGTAGGCGATGCTGTTCTTGCAGTGGTAGGTGATGTTCTGGGAGCCCTCAGTTGACAGGAGACGTAGGAAGGTCATCTGGACGCTGGCAGTGTTGGGAGCCAGGTTGTCATCTCCATAGCTGAACTGTGGGGCAGAGAGCCAAGGTATGAGGCCTGTGAGCTGGCATTTACTGGGGTCAGGGGCTTTAGAGATGTTAACTATTCAGGGATCAGAGGAGCTGAGGGGGATGTTGGGTGGCGGGAAGCTGAGAGGACATTTCTGCTTCCAGGGAATGGAGCAAGCTCAGAGGATCTATTTTCAACTCCAAATAGAAAAAAAATACTCTTTTTCTTCTCTCCTTTCCCCCCAAGCCCAGAGAAAAACTGATGAATGTGGGGAAGGTGCTGACAACATCCAGGGAAAAAGAAAGACCAAGGAGCCAGCTCAGGCCTGGAGCACCCAGATACTCACATGGAAGCCACCATTGATGGTTTCTCCAAACCAGATGTGCTTCTTGTCCTTGCTCTTGCTGCTCCACCAGTTCTTCTTGGGTACATTTGCTGGGTTGGGGTAGACGCAGGTTTCGCCTGTCTCCATGTTGCAGAAAACCTTCATGGCGTCCAAGGTGCAGCCCTGATTGGGGTCAATCCAGTAGTCTCCTACAAGAGAAGAGGCAGTACCCCATCAGGCTCAGCAGACTCAGACTCAAAAACCCAGGAGGGCCAGACTGACTGGGAGAGACAGAGGGCCTACAGGGAAATCGGGAGTTGGTGGGGAGGCTTGTGTGTGGCCTAAAGGGAGGGGAGACAGAAGAACATGTGAGGCAAGGAGATTGGGATGGGCCATCTAATAGTAAAGAAGTTTACAGGCATAAAAGTCAAGACCAGAGCAG